CCAGGCACGGTGGCCCACGCCTGTAATCCTAGCACTTTGGGAGGCCGAGGCGAGCAGACTGCCTGAGCTCAGGAGCTCGAGACAAGTCTGGGCAACACAGTGAAACCCTGTCTCCACTAAACCAAAAATTAGCCAGGCATGGTGGTATGCACCTGTAGTCCCAGCTACTCAGGAGGCTGAGGCAGGAGAATAGCTTAAACCCAGGAGGCAGAGGCTGCAGTGGACTGAGATTGCGCCACTGCACTCCAGCCCAGGTGACAGAGTGAGACTCCATCTCAAAAACAAAAAAAAGATAATTATGAAAAGTTACAAACAATAATCACAAATACAAATAATTTGAATGATTTTTGGACAGGTTTTTAAGTTACCAATATTTATTGAGAGCATGCATTGTGCCTGACACTGTGCTAAGGACTTAACGTGCATTTCATTAAATCCTTACAAAGTTGAATAATCTATGTACAAAAAACTGGGTCTGTTACTGTATCATTAAATCTGATAGGAAAAAGAAAAGGTGTCACGCAATTGAGAGTTCTTTTCTATTATATCCTCCCTCCCTGCCCCAACAACTTCCTCTTTTGGGATATGACTGTGTGAAACGAGGTCTGGAGCTGTGGCAGCCCCAGTGCAACCACTCAGAAAAAGTCAATAAAATCTTTTGATAAGACTGACAATGGCCTTGACATTATGAACTTCTGAGCTACTTCCTTCCAGATCTGTTAAGTAGATGATTAAAACAATAAATAAGAACAGTGAACAAAAGCTAGTCATGGCTGGGCGCGGTAGCTCACACCTGTAATCTCAGCCAATTTGGGCTTTGGGAGGCTGAGGCCGGCAGATCACCTGAGGTCAGGAGTTCGAGACCAGCCTGGCCAACATAGAGAAACCCTGTCTGTACTAAAAATACAAAAATTAGCCAGGTGTGGTGGTGGGCACCTGTAATCCCAGCTACTCTGAGGCAGGAGAATTGTTTGAAGCTGGGAAGCAGAGGTTGCAGTGAGCTGAGGTCATGCCATTGCACTCAACCCTGCGCAACAAGAGTGAAATTCCCCTTCATTAAAAAAAGGAAGCTCGCCACAACCAAGTATATAATGTGTGATTCTATTTATTTATTTAAACTTCAAAAAGAAGCAAAATTATAGTGTTCTTGTTTGCATACTTACATATTATAATGTTAAAAGAAAAGGAACAAGCAGACAGCTACTGGAACACTGACAATGTTCATTGAGTTTTTCAGCCTAGGTGATGGTTATGAATTACTATAATTCGTAAGGCTATACATTTGTTTTATGCTCTTTTCTGTGTTATATTTCATAATAAAAGAGTCCATACATTTCAAATAAAAATAAACACTTTGGCAAAAGTAAATTACTCTGTAAATCACCCTTTTTGAAAGCATAAAAACCACTTTGCTGGATTCATAACAGGATTAAACATCATATCTAGTTAAGAGGTTTCTAAAAGGCAAAGGATTCTTACTTAAGAACAGAGTACTCAAGGACAGGCGCAGTGGCTCACGTCTATAATCCCACCATAGTGGAAGGCCAAGGTGGGTCGATCACCTGAGGTCAGGAGTTCAAGACCAGCCTGGCCAACATGGTGAAACCCTGTCTCTACTAAAAATACAAAAAATTAGCTGGGCATGGTGGTGCGCGCCCGTAATCCCAGCGACTCAGGAGGCTGAGGCAGGAGAATTGCCTGAACCCAGGAGGTGGAGGTTGCGGTGAGCCGAGATCGCGCCATTGCACTCCAGCCTGGGTAACATGAGTGAAACTCTGTCTCAAAAAAAAAAAAAAAAAAAAAAAAAAAAAAAGATTAAGATAAACCTGCCAAATCTGATAACAGCAAGAAGAGCAAAAATGAATCAATTGTGTAACGTACCATAGAGTAACACGACTGTTACATCAAGCCATTTCCTCAACAGTGAAAATGCCTTGAGCATGTAGCTCAGAAAAATAATGTCCTCAGGAACTAGCCTAAAAAACTGGTCATCAAAAAAAAAATTTTTCTGAGACAGAGTCTTGCTCTGTCGCCCAGGCTGGAGTGCAGTGGCGCAATCTCAGCTCACTGCAACCTCTGCCTCCCCAGTTCAAGACGATTCTCCTGCCTCACCCTCCAGAGTAGCTGATATTACAGGTGCATGCCACCACACCCCAATGATTTTTGTATTTTTAGTAGAGACAGGGTTTCACCATGTTAAATTTTAAAATACATACTATAGTTTACATGTTACAGAAGTATACTTAGAAATAAAAATTGTGTCCAAGATAAGAAAATGACTGGTAAAAGTGCCATGATAAATCTTGGCCATGCCAAAGATAGCTACTTCTTTTGAAACTAAAAATAACAAGGGCTGGACGTGGTGGCTAATGCCTATAATCTCAGCACTTTGGGAGGTCAAGGCGGGCAGACTGCTTGAGCTCAGGAGTGAGATCACCCTGGTAACATGGCGAAACCCTGTTTCTACCAAAAATACAAAGAGAATTAGCAGAGCATGGTGGCATGCACTTGTGGTCCCAGCTACTCTTGAGGCTAAGGTTGGGGGATTGCTTGAGCCCAGGAGGCAGAGGTTGCAATGAGCTGAGACCACACCACTGCACTCGAACCTGGGTGAAAGAGAACAACCCTGTCACATATATGTACACCAGAAGTAGCAAGTCTGTATGGCTTAAAAATCATTAGCAGCTTGTGGCTGTTATAAAAAAATCACCTCTGAAGAAGAAATATTAATAGCAAGGGTTTAAATGAAAAAAGAAACAATTACTTTCCACAAGAGGGAAAGCCTGTTCTAAAGATTCAAAATCATTTTCAATTTAGTATAACCTTAATACAGAGGGGGAAAAATCATATTAGAATTAATCCATCTACTCGTCTTTAGTTTTCTCAGGAAATTTCATTCACACCCACCTTCAGACCAACAAGCAGTATGTTACAAATCTGCTCAAATGTCTTACCTTCAGAGAGGATTCGCCTAATTATTCTAAAATACTAGCCCTTGTCACTATCCTCTAACCACACTTTAATCCATAGCACTTACTAACTCCTGACATTACAGATAAATGTATATCTGTCTGTCTGACCCACTAGAATGTAAGCTCCAGGAAAACAGGGATTCTATCTACCCTCTTTTCTGTTGTACTGCTAGCATCGAAATGGTGGCTAATAAAAAGGAGGCTCAACCCAGTCTCTTTTTGTTGTTTGGTTTTTTTTTGAGACAGGGTCTCACTCTGTCACCCAGGCTGGAGTGCAGTGGCATGATCATGGCTCACTGCACCCTTAACCTCCTGGGCTCAGGTGATCCTCCCACCTCATCCTCTTGAGTAGCTGGGACTACAGACATATGCCACCATGCCCATCTAATTTTTTGTGTTTTTTCTAGACACATGGTTTTGCCATGTTGCTCAGGCTAATCATGAAGAACTTATGGGGCTCAAGCAATCCACCCACCTCAGCCTCCCAAGGTGCTGGGACTACAGGCGTGAGCCACCATGCCCAGCCAACCCAATCTCTTTTGAGCTATACACCTGGATACCCAACTGCTTCTTTCACATCTCCATCTTCATGGCCCTTATGTAGCTAGAATGCAAGACATCCAAAAGTGAAATAATGATCTATATCCAATCCTACCCTCAACAACATGGCAAAAGTCAGTCATAGCATCATCAATCACTCAGCAACTTAAGAAAAAATTTTAGGGTCACCTTTGATCCCTCCTTCTCCTACATCTGCCATATCCAAACATCAAATCTCTCTACTTCTATCTTTCTCAAATGGACAATTCCTCTCCCAATCTTCCACACCAATCATCACATCCTGAAACTGACTACTACAATACTCACCTATTTCCCTGCCTCTTGTTGCCTCCAAATCCAAATTCCTGCTGGGTGCAGTGGCTAATGCCTGTAATCCCAGCACTTTGGGAGGTTGAGGTGGGTGGACCACTTGAGGCCAGGAGTTTTAAAAGTACAGCCTGGCCAACATGGTGAAACCGTGTCTCAAAAAAAGAAAAAAAAAAAAAAAAATCCAAATTATCTTTTTCACATAGCTCTGTTCTTACAACTCTTCTCACTTCCTACTGTTTTTCAAATAAAAAAACAAAATCCCATTTAGTCCAATATCCTTTTAAAATACTCACTGGGCATACATGTCTGCAGGTGCATATATGAAAAGGTGCCCAAGACAAATTGTTAAATTTTTTAAAAGAAGCATGATGAAAAATGGCATGCAGAGTACAAACCCTTTTATGTTTGAAAAACCATGTGAGGGGGTAGGAAATAGAACAGATGTATACACAGATAAATGAACCAGGGATTAAAGGACAGAAAAGATGATTTATTGAAACTTACCCCTTACAGCATATTGCTCAAAAATAATTCTTATCATTTCTCTGTTTATTTTACATTTTATACATTACATATGTATACTATATTATTGTAAATTTAATAGCGTCTTACTTTCATAACTTTTAAGAATATTTTTAAAAGGTGAATCAGAAATAAGAAAATTAGTACTAGTTGGACTAAAATTAAATCTTCCTGTTTATTTTTTCTCAAATTCCATCTAAATCCTAACAAACCCTATGGCATTTGATACCTCTAATCTGAGCCAAAAGTTAGAAGGCAAAAAACAATTTATGACTCTTCAAGACCTAAAGTTTTTCTAATCACCATTTCCCTGATGACCAATTTGAAACAGAAAAAAAGTTCCAAGTTATGATCACATTTAGAAGTTCAGCCAAGATCCAACTTGGTCCATCCCAATCACATTGTATAAAATTTAAACTCACTCCTACCTTGATTTGACAATCTCTTTTTCATATATCTCTTCAATAACCTGTTATCAAAAATATAAACATGTTTAATATCTCAACAACTTTTTTCAACCCCAAATTGACAGTTTTCAATGAGAAAGATAATAAATAAAACAGAAAGCAAACTAGAAAAAATAAATAATAAAACAGAGCCCTAGATTCATTAAAATGATGTGCTTATAAACATTTTTAGGGAAAATAAAAATTCACAAGATCAGGATTTTTTTAAAACTTAAAGTGTATAAATGTTATCAGACTCCATTTAAGAGTCTGATAACTGTGTGCCTTCAAAAGCCAGAGAGAAAATAGGTTAAAAGTATAAAGACAGGCCGGGCGCGGTGGCTCAAGCCTGTAATCCCAGCACTTTGGGAGGCCGAGGCGGGTGGATCACGAGGTCAAGAGATCGAGACCGTCCTGGTCAACATGGTGAAACCCCGTCTCTACTAAAACTACAAAAAATTAGCTGGGCATGGTGGTGCGTGCCTGTAATCCCAGCTACTCAGGAGGCTGAGGCAGGAGAATTGCCTGAACCCAGGAGGCGGAGGTTGCGGTGAGCCGAGATCAAGCCATTGCACTCCAGCCTGGGTAACAAGAGTGAAACTCCGTCTCAAAAAAAAAATAAATAAATAAATAAAATAAAAGTATAAAGACAGAATAGAAACAAATTCTAATTGTTATATCCTATTATACAAATGAATATGATAAAGCCTCAGAATTTCCATTCATTTGAGTGAGGGTGGACAAAATAGTATACTACTTAAGAATTCAGACTCTGCAATTGGAAGCCTGGTTCAAAACATCTGCCTTCACTACTGGTGGCTGGAATTCTTGCGCAAGTGCCTCACCTCGCTAAAGCTCAGTTTCCTTACCCAAAAACAGATCTAATAATACAAACTATCATACAGGGTTACTGCAAATAAAATACAACAGGGTATATAAACAATTAGTACAAATACTGGCACATGGTGAGCCTTCAGTAACAGTTATCAATAGCAGTAGTAGGCCGGGCGTAGTGGCTCAAGCCTATAATCCCGCACTTTGGGAGGCTGAGGTGGGCGGATCAACTGAGGTCGGGAGTTTGCAACCGGCCTGATCAAAATAGAGAAACCCAGTCTCTACTAAAAATACAAAAATTTAGCTAGGTGTGGTGGCACATGGCTGTAATCCCAGCTACTTGGGAGGCTGAGGCAGAATCGCTTGAACCCAAAAGGCAGAGGTCGCGGTGAGCTGAGGTTGCGCCATTGCACTCTAGCCCGGGCAACAAGAACGAAACTCCAGCACATACAAAAAAAGGGCCGGGCGCGGCGGCTCACATCTGTAATCCCAGCACTTTGGGAAGCCGAGGGAGGCGGATCACGAGGTCAAGAGATTGAGACCATCCTGGCCAACATGGTGAAACCCCGTCTCTACTAAAAAAATACAAAAATTAGCTGGTCGTGGTGGCGTGCCTGTAGTCCCAGCTACTCGCGGTGCTGAGGCAAGAGAACTGCTTGAACTGTGGAGGCGGAGGTTGCAGTGGGCCAAGATTGTGCCACTGCACTCCAGCCTGGCGCCTGG